CTCATTGCTGGCAGGATAAATGATCATAAATAAATATCATAATTAGAGTAATTAGTGGAGTACCTTGGAGATTTGTATCTGCATGGTATAGTTAGTAACAACAAAGTACACAGATGATACCAAAGCTACAAAAGATATTAAAAGAAAACATGGTCCAAATCCAATTCTGTACAAACACTTTTCATAAGGCATTTAATCTAGAAATGCATATAGACAGCAAAAACAAATTACAGCTAAAACTAAAATGATTTAAACACAATGATTGGGAAACACTCATTTTGAAGAGACTACTCATAAAAAAGAAACGTCACATCATTTTTATGTAGAAACATCTTTTTGATCTATTACATGAATTAGGGAAGCAATAAAAAGAATGAACATGTTTGGGTCTATAGTTAAGTGCAGAATTTGAAAACCTGTAAAGCAGCCGGCCCAGATGGTATCTTCCCACATGTCCTGAAAACGTGTACAGGTCAGCAGATGACACTACAAATATTGGGCTCATCAGCAACAACGATGAGTCCGCATTTAGGAGTGAGGTGGAGCATCTTACAAGATGGTGCTTTGACAATAATTTGGCCCTGAATGTCAACAAGACAAAATAACTCATTATGGACTTTGGGAAACATTTATTTTTTAAGGGAGAGAGGGCGGTACACTCCAATCAGCATCGAGGGCACAGTAGTGGAAACTGTCAACTGCTTCAGATTCCCCCGTCTGCTGATATCCACTGATCTGATTTATCACTACACTGCAGCCAGTCTGAAAAAGGCAGAACAGTGCCTGCACTTTCTGTGGTGCTTAAATAAATTAGGTATGGGGAAGAAGCTACTCATGAACTTTGACCGCAGCACCATAGAAAGTCTTCACTAGTGTTATATAATAGTTATATATAGTGTAATAATAATAATAATAATAATAATAATAATAATAATAATAATAATAATAATAATTTAGAAGTGCTTTTATGACAGAACTGTGTAATTGCACACACAAACACAAATGGGACATTCAGTCAGCTCCAATTATCTTAAATGTGTGCTCCTTCTTGTCAAATGTGTGAGGGGAGCAGATAAAGGTCTCAGAGACCACGTACCAGGGCTCGGAGACACATGGAGCCAAAATGGATGAGCCGTTGGAAAACAATGAATCCTCGAAAGTTTTATTCTGTAAAAATAAACTGAAGCTCTATTGTTTTGTTTATAAAATGCCTGTGGGGTGTAATTTTGTAATAGGCTGTTACAAATGTTAAAAAGAAAGAGAAAAAAGAAAATCACAGTAAGCTGACCCAAAACCAAGAGTTAAATTATATATTAGAATATTGAAGAGAAAACTGTCACCAGGTGCAGACTCTAATGGATTTGGGCAATGAGTTGTATGGAACCTAGTACTGGCAGAAAGCCTATATTACCAGACCGAAGAGACATTAAGAGCTGGACTTTGTTCATAAAATAAATCCTTAAAATAACCCATTCAATGTCTGTTTTAATTTGAAATTATAATGTTACAGTATAGTACCTGTTTACAATTTATGCTACAATGAACCGAAGTATTACATCAGGTTAAAACAGACTTCAAAGCAGATTTAATAAAGAATTCTAACTTAAGAAATGTTTTGCATTTATTTACCTTCTTTATATTGATTTTAATACAGACTTAAGATGTATTGTCACGTTGTATTTAATATATTATATTATATTTCTACATTGAAGTTAAGTATTGATTTTTAAATTAATTCTGTGAGCTTGTAAAAAATAAAAGCTGTGACATTTGCTAATCTAAAAGCACACACATATAAGATTATACATGTCAAATGACAGTAATGGACGACATTATTTACTTCTTAAGCAGGAAACAGGCAAGACTGCTCCAATATGTTTTTGTCAACCAAACATTAAATAATAAAACAAACTTTTAAAAGAACATTCAAAAGTCATGTGATGCAGTGGAATGCACATGGGTGTGTTCCACTGCATCACAAACGAGTACAGTTTCAACTTATGGCCATCACAGCTAAATTTAGCTGTAACCTCTGAGCTAAGAAGCAGTAGAACTGGTTTTGACACAGTGTCATAGAAGAATGTTGAATACTTACACTTCGGGTTCTGTCTTGTAAAAAGAAACATTCGTGGATGTTTCATTTGTATGAAAATGAGGCAGACTAGTTTCATGCCCTCAAGCAGCATTTGAGTTTTTCTTTTTTGTGAGTTAAGCTTCCTTGGGTGTTATTAGCCATGCTGTAATTAACCACACCGTTGTAACCTTCTGACAATTATTACAGGTCTATTAATATAGGTGAAAAAAGGAAATACTCTAGAGCACTTAAGCAAGAAAGCCTAACCATAGTCAAATTATGACTACAGTGTCTCGCAAATGTATTTAGACCCTTGCACAATTTTCACAATTTGTTGCTTTAAAGTTCACAGTCATGACACTTTTAAGTTGCAATTAATATTCCTACTCATCCTACTCCTAATCATCCTACTCAAAACATTGAAAGCAAAAACAAAAAAGGAACTATAGCTTGTTTATTGTAGCTTATAAAGTATGAAATAAATATTGTATCTTATTATTATGAAAGAAAAATGGAATTCAAAACTGCATATTCAAACCTTTTGTTGCCAATTTAAATTAATTTAGGTACAAAAGTACCTTAATGAGTCATACTGTATAATTAGTTGAGTGGCTAATAATAATAAAAACACTATGTCAATTTAGTGAATTTCAAGCAAATATCCAAACATGAAGATGGTGACAGGCAGATGTTCCTTTAAACAGGAGTCATGGGTGGTACTACTTGAATGGCCTATCTTACTTCTCTAACAGGGCCTGTGGTTCTCTTCTTAATGCTAGATCTAGATTTAATGTTAGAGAGAGAAGGAAAATCTTTACTCCTTAGCAAAGCGTGTTGATAGAGGACTCTCCCATCTTGCTGCAAGTGCAGTGTAAGTATGCAGTGTGTGGGTTGCGTGTTCACCTCGCACATGCATTGGGAGCAGCTGCTGGTCAAGCGGGCCTTGATGCTATAGAGGTGCAGGCATGTGTAAGAAACAGGTTGTGTGTGGTCACAGTGCCTGGAATGCTTCTGATCTGTGAATGCCACAGAGGTAATAATTACATGTCTTGAAGGACTCCACACTGTCTCTTAGGGATCTGAGATAGAGACTTGTATCTGCAGATGTGCATCCAGCAGAGGTTAGTAGCTGCAATTCATCTGCAATGTGGCATGGGTAGACACCTAATGCTGTGGGCTGTGAAAACCCTTGGGAGTATGTTGGTGTGTGGGACACAGCAGGTTGATGCTGCAGTCTTTCCCAGAAGGGCAGCAATGTCAAGAAAATGGAGAGGTTCTGTCCATGAGTATATCATGATAGCTGGAGTATTCCCTGGCTCTGCACATGGCAGAGGGTATCATTTTGGCTGCTGGCTCTCTGGTGGAGAGTAGGGTCTAGCACGGCTCCAATGTCAGAAAAGAGAAAGGTTTTGGCCTGGGCGAGTACATGGCACACTGGGATGTAGTGTGATTACTGTCTATTATAAAGAAAGCATGGTGTGTTAATGTGGTGGCAATAGGGCTGTATGGGCTGCCCACCAGATTGAGAAAACTGTGGCTGAAGGGTAAGAGAGCATGGGAACTCAGTCTCTGTACTGCTTGTCTACACCTGGCTCTCTGACAGTGCAGTGTGTATGTTGGTCAGAGGTGAAATCAAGGAAAGGGCAGCTGCAGAGTGTGTTTGGAATGCTGGCTAAGGGACATGAGAGAGACACACCAATAACTGCAGGATAACTATAGAGTTTTTAAAGAAGAGAAGAGAATAATTGTGTAGTGAGTGGCAGAAGAGTCAACAATTATATACAGACAGAACTGCAACCAACCTCCCAGGTAGGGTATGGCCTGTGTTTTTTATAAAGGTCAAGAAGAAAAAATTGTACAAATGCATAGATCAGAAGAAGAGCATAAAACATGGGTAAGAAAGTCTGTGGGTCAACGATATCCTTGTCACTCCAATAAGGGTGCTTGTATGGAACTGGAAAAAAACCCTCTCAAATTGCACATAAAGTTTGCAATAAAGCACTTAAGTGATACTGTAAACATGTGTTAAAAGACCAAACTAATTTGGAACTTGCATCACCACCATCTCTAATGTCAAGCATGGTGGATGCAGCATTATGTTACTGTTCATCAGCAGGGACTGGAAGATAGTCAAGACTAATGGGAACATAGATGGAGCGAAGTACTGGAAAGCCTTAGAAGAAAACCTGTTTCAGACCTAAACCCAGGACAAAATTAATCTTTCTGCAGGTCAACGAGTCAAAGCTTAAGGACAAAACTACACTGGAGTTGCTTAGGAAGAAGCAAGTGAATGCCCTTGAGTGGCCAAGCCAAAATCCTGACTTGAATTTTACTAAGATTCTGTGGAAATACAGTACTTGAAAATGTCTGTCCATAAGCAATCCCAAGCAATTTGAAAACACTGCATTTGTATGAAAACAAACACTGAAAAGCAAATCTACCAAGTAAAATGGCCAAACACTGCACTAAACCAATGTGCAAATTTGGTTGAGACCCAAAAAGACTAGTGGATGTATATGATGCCAAAGATGCTTAAAGCAAATATTGAGGTCAATGGTATGAATATTTATGCAATCAACATCAGTTGATGTTCACTTTCAGTTTTGTTCTCATTAGTGTCCACTGACATTTACTGTAACTTAAAAAATATTTCTTAGAAATCTTAATTCAGAGTATTCAAGTTTTGAATAAAATATAAAGTATAATGTAAATGGGTCACTATAGGAAGGGTCTGAATATTTTTGCAAGGTGTTGATTGTGCACTCCATGTATTTTAAAATAGAACAGAGATAACTACTAAATACCTATATAAAATTAAACCAAAACTACTCATTTTTCTGAACCTATTTTTCAAAGTGATTTGTTTTTCGTTTGTCTTTACAAAAGCAGGCTGTTGGCTTTGTAAATATGAGTGTAAGACCATTACCTGAACATCTGACTCCCTGAGCAATTAATCCCCACATGAAGTTGGCACAGTATTCACACCAGTGTGGACCTCGAAACGTGTGGACCTAAGAGCAGAGAACACAGAAAACAGGAGGCTGAGAGACAGATGGTCTGGCAGATGGAACACACAAAGGACAACAGAAGCAATCTACACAGCAGGAATTTCATTGCCAAACAGTGATGACTATGTGGGTATTCTATTATTATCTGCCTTTGAACTGATCAACACTAAAAAGAACTTTCTCGTAATTGTGTATTTACAGAATGCTATGCTGTCACAAATGCAGATGAAATCTTTACAGAAAGTACTTCTTTTTCAAGACCATACAGAGAAGCAGAAACACCCAGGAATCAAATGATTAATTCAGTTTCTTGTAGTCTTTCTACCGAAAAAAGGGTCATTTTAGAACAAGCAACAGAGCCCAAAACAAGTTTAAATCACTGAGGACATAAATCAATTACTCTTCTAAACAGGGAACTTATTGGGTCAGAATTATTTTTGTTTCTCATTTAAATTTTGAGCTAGTTAATGGTTTTAAAATGTGTATTTAAATCTAAAAATATTTAATTATGCCCAGGAAAAGGCTAAAATTAGATAAGCCTACTTAAGGATTTGAAGAAAGAGTGAATTTAAAAACAAAGTCACAAGTAGGCAAATGTAGCTGAAAATTTGTTTAAAAAATGTATCACATAGTCAAGTTTGTTTTAGGTAACATTTTAATAATCAACTTCAAAATGTCCAACTTCAATAAAAAAAAACAACTTAAAAATCTCACTAAGGGTAAAAAATAATACTTGAAAGATTCGAAATAAGCATTGCTGCCTTGCAGCCCTGAGGCCCTGAGGCCCTGAGTTCATTTCTAGACCTGAGATGTGCTGTCACACTTCAGTTACATAACCACCTCATGACAAACAACCTTTTTGAACCCCTCCAATCTAGCTTCCGTCAACTTCACAGCCAGAAACTGCCCTGGTGAAAGTCACAATCGATCTTCTAATAGCTTCTGATTCTGGTTCTCTTTCTATACTCCTGCTTTTGACACTGTTGACCATAACATCTTACTTTCTCGTCTTGAGACTGTGCTTGGAGTTTCTGACACTGCCCTCAGATGGTTCAAATCTTACCTCACTGATCGCTGTCACTTTGTCTCTCTTAATGGGTACAGGTCTGAAAACGGTCTTGTTACGTCTGGTGTTCCTCAGGGCTCAATACTGGGCCCCTTGCGCTTCAGCATTTACATGTTCCCTCTTGGTCAGCTTTTAAGATCACATGGCCTCAGCTTTCATTTTTACACTGCCAATACTCAAATATACATCCATACCAAACCTGACACTGATGTGGCTGTCTCTATTCTATCTAATTGCATCTCTCACATAAAAATTTGGATGACTCAAAACTTCCTTCATCTTAACTGCGACAAGACTGAAGTCATGCTTATTGGTACCCCCCATCAACTTCTTAAAGCCAGTCCTGTAACCCTTTCTGTAGATGGCTCTGTACTTGAGCTTCAATCAAAATTGAAAAACCTTGGGGTTATATTAGATTTTGGCTTAACATTTGACCCACATGTGCACCATACTGTCAAAACATATTTTTTTCACCTTAGAAATATCGCAAGACTAAGCCCTACGCTATCATTAACTGTGGCTGAAAAGCTGATCAACACATTTGTGTTTTCTCGAATTGACTACTGTAATGCTCTACTCGCTGGGGTATCTAAATCTACTCTGAACAAACTGCAGCATGTCCAAAATTCAGCAGCCAGAATCCTGACCAGGTCTAGTGCAAGTGTTCACATTACTCCTGTCCTGGAGTCCTTGCACTGTCTTCCGGTCAAATTCCGTGTAGACTTTAAAATCCTAATTTTCACCTAAAAGGCTCTGCATGGCTTGGCACCTCAGTACCTGTCTGAACTATTATCGCCCTACTCCCCACCTCGCAACCTCCGCTCTTCAAATTCTGCCCTCCTTACTGTCCCCCAAGCCCGTCTACATTGTATGGGTGACAGGGCCTTCTTCTGTTATGCCCCCAAGCTCTGGAACTCTTTGCCCAAGGATATCAGAAAGTCACTCCTTCAAATCCAGACTCAAAACCCTCTTCTTCAGAAAAGCCTTTACTTAACTGGTTCCATTCTTCACCCCTCTGCTCTTCTTAGAACGACCATCCACGGTCTCCTCTATATATTGTAATTGTGTCTTATCTTGAGTATTCTCCTTATTTATTGTTGTATTCTTCTTATTTATTGTTATTATCATCCTGTAAAGTGCTTTGAGAAGCCACCATTAAAGGCGCTATATAAAATAAAGTTTATTATTATTATTATTAGTAGTAGTAGTATTATCTGTGTGGAGTTTGTATGTTCTCCCCGTGTTTGCGTGGGTTTCTTCCGGGTGCTCAGGTTTCCTCACACAGTCTAAAAACATACTAGTATGTTAACTGGTTTCTGGGAAAACTAACCCTGGTGTGAGTTTGTGAGTATGTCTGTCTTTGTTTGCCCAGTGATGGACTGGCTTCCCATCCAGGGTGCACCCCACCTTGCGCCTGTTGCTTGTTGGCTCCACCATGATCCTGAATTGGATGAAGCGGTTAGAAAATGGATGGGTGACTGGATTCAAAATGGCGAATAGTACTATCTGAAACTTTTAACAATATGGAATTACATAGAATATATGAATCAATATAAGTATTTATCATTATTACTTTAATATTCTACAGCAGGATTGAGAAGCAAAAAGTGGTTCACTTAAACATAAGAGCACACAATTCGTAAAACAATAAATGTTATAGTTCTATACTGTTGTTAAGGAGATTATGCAATTAAAGATCTTAATTAAACTAATAGATGAAAATGGGAATAGATAACAGAATAGATTAAAATTAAGGAACCCCCCCTGGAATGGTAAATGCTACATTGCAAAAGAATAAATACATTAAATACACCTTTTATTTGCAAATTTACAAACCTCATGACAGTACTTTTTTTATTTCTGTTCTCACAGTTTTTTGTATAACCGCTTTGTGATTTTCAACATTTAAGATACTCTTTTAAATCAAGTGCGCCGACATGCAACAGCTGGTGCTTTTGTGCAAGTTAAACGTGCGATACGCTGGGGTACCATAATTGATTTAGAAAACACAATAAAAAAAACCAACATAAACATGAGTCCTATTTCCAACTAGAAAACCAGGCAAACTCTATAACTGTTCAGGCAAAATCTATAACTGTTCATTATGTCCTTTCAGAGACACACTTTTAACACCTACAGTAGTTCACAAGCCAGCACAAAAAATGTATTTAATGACAATCATAACTACTAAAGCAAACAAAAAAAACACCTAATTTAACATATGAGACTATTCTTTGGAAGTCAATTATGTATTGGAAATAAGGGTTTGTGCAACCCCTCTTTCATCCTCTGTCCAAGTGAATTACTGCAAATGAGTAAACATGAAACTCCAAATGTCATTTTTGTTTATGTTTACCGAAGCACACCTAAGATGCAACGCATTTGCCTTTTAGTTTGCAACTTTTATAAAAGAAAAAAGAGCAAGAATGTGCACAAGAAAAGAGCTAAGGTAAACATGTTTTTTGACATGCTATTATTTCTTTTTGCAGGAAGGTGGACATACTTCCTGCAAAAAAATGATAGCAGATATACTGACAGTAAGGAGGAAACAGAGCCTAAGTTATCTTACTGTTATCTCCAGTTAATGTTAGCAAACACTGATTCTATCAAGAGCATGTATCCTTTAGCTCTACTGAACAACTGTGCCACATGTCTCTTGCAATGAGTAATTATTTTGATGTACATGATAAAGAAACCTATTTTACTCCCCTGTTATGGAATATGGGGGATTCCATAATGGGGAATTAAAATAGGTTTCTTTTTCTTTAAAAATGGTATTCATCACAGGGCAGTTATACCACCTGATCTCCCTAGAGGTGACAGGTTAGTTCCTATTGTTAAGGCTTGCTTGAGCAAATTAGAAAAAAACTTGGGCCATGTCCTTAAGGCAATTGTAAATAAGGCTATTTTCTCAAGAAAAAATGTTGTCTGATTCTTGTACTACCAATTTCAATGTCAGAACTGCCATATTTCCTGGTGTTGTGTTGATTTCAACAGACAGACACTATATGATTGTTATTCATGTTTCTTGGAAAAAAATTAATTGTTACCCTCATTAGATGACAACAGAAACCTTGTTGAGGTTTCCCTAGGTGTTTACCCATATAACTTCTTGCCCAATATTCAACTTGGCTGCAAAGTTGCATCTAACGTAGATCAATAGGACATGAGTAAAAAAATCCCTTCAGAAGAAATTAAGTATTAAACTGTTACAATAAAGTATGAAGGTTTTGAGGCCATAAGCATATCTACTGTCTACCTCATCCTGGGAAGAAGTATTTTTGTTGTTCATTACTTTCACGTTATTTTATCTGTTTCTGACTTTTTAAGTTTTTTAAAAAGAATTTTTGTGCACTGCTAGGGTAATTATAGCAAGAAGGGTACAACAGTCCATCACAAGATGACCTTTTAGAAAACTGTTATATGCACACCACTTATGTTCGGTGTCTATTTTGCATGCCACCTAAAGTATTTGTCTAGTGCTGCAGTGAGTGTATCCAGGCCTAGAGTCCTCAGGTTACATGACTGGTGTCTACAAGTGCATTGTTCAAAGTGTATATGAGAATGACAGCTTTTTCCTACTTAGTAAGGTAGAAGATGAAGCTCATCCAAAATTATTTCTGTCTTGCAGAGACCGGCTTTTCATTTTAATGGTTAAAGAGCATGTTTGTATGTCCATGTTGTGATCACACAAGGGTTTTTTCCATGTGTTCCAGTTTCCTCCTACAGCAGAAAAATATACTGGTTCCTTAATTGGCTTCAGAAAAATCTATCCCTAGGCATGAGTGTGTGCATGTCAATATGTATGCCCTGTGATGGACTGGGCTCTCATCCAGGGTGTACCCTGCTTTGAGCCTGTTGCTTGTTGGGATAGGTTCTGGCTTCTTGCAACTCTGAGTTTGTTAGAAAACAGATGGCTGAATACTTCTTATTAATGCATATTGTATGTGTTATTGTAATATGTTTTTCCGAAATAAATGATAATGTGTATGAGATTTAGATGTACAGTGAGTGAAGGAGAACTGAGTACAAGAGACAATTAAATCATTTTTGTCATTCTGACTTTAACAGCAGATATTTACAACAAAGGAATGACAAACATTAACATGAAGAATGACTTCAGGGATATCACAAGTAAATCCTGTTCCATGGGCAGATAACTACAACACACAGACACCCTGTATCATTAAAGATGTGGGTAAGAACAGCCCAGCCAAGTAAGATGGAACAAACAAATTTACAGCATCATGCCGACAGTAAAAAATAACATACACCAGTGTTCCTCTAACAGCTAACATGTAGAGCTAACATGTAGTGTAGTGTGTTAGAGAGACTTTAAAGAGACAGTGTAATGTAATGTCTTAAAGAGACTTTAGACACATTATTTGTAACTATCTTGAATAAAAATGTTGATTACTCATAATAAGACCACAATAAGTACAAAAGTGACTTATCAGCAAATAATTAGTAATACTTCAAGACAAATTTCATTTGTAAAGCTAGAGTTTCATGATTTCTAATTACAATGCAGAAAGAAATGCAACAAAAAGATTCAAATCATACTGCAGTTTGATGCATTTAGTTTTCAGCAAAAATGTAAAGTTTCAGGAAAACATGGAATTGAACTGAGAAATGAAGCATGAAATGTAGTACTGCATTTTTTATAGTCAGAACAATACATTATTAATCATCACAACTGTCATGGTCTATTCACATACAGTATTACACATAGTCAGTGTATATACCATGTATATAAGGACGTTCACATAAAAAAAACTCTTAAGGAAAGTGAAAGGTCAGTGATGTATATACAGCAGAAAAGGAGACTCTTACCTTAAAGTTGTGAGCCTTCTCATAGTTAAAATTATTTTCATTTTCCTTTATTGCAGCCCTCTTGACCAGGGACGTAACCTGTGAAAAGGCAAAGTGTTTTAGAGGTTTCCATACCAATGTTCCTCTACCACTCACTTTCACCCCCATGACCATGGCTAACAGATACTGCTGTTTTCTGTCTCGTTTTGACTTCTACAGTATCTGGCTACAGTTCTGCTCACTCTGTAACCACAGCTCCTCCGAGTGCAAATCTTTTGGGTCCCAGAATCTATCCATTTCTTCCCTTAAACAGTGAGGCTGACATCACTTAGGTCTATAAACCCTCTTCTAAAAGCAGTCAGCAAAGTTGTAGCAGCTGTGCTCCATTCTGCTGAGACCTCTGGCATGTGATTTCAATAGGCTGTCTTAGGAGATGGAAGGGGTTTCTGCATCTGAATAAGGAAGAGTCCGTCTTGAAGTGAGCTTTTAGAGGAAAAGTGTGCCTCAGACAATAGCCCACATTCATTCACTGAACAGAGAAAAAATATAAAAAGAAATCCACAGCAACCGTATCTAGACAGACGCTAGACCAGAGCAGTACAGGCAGGGGGTAGCAGCTCAGCTCCCTGAGAGCACAACAGCATTGAAAAGCAAGATCAATTCTACTTGGTACCACATTAAAGAAATGCAGTGTAATCATTCAAAGAAGAGCTGCATCCAATTATTCTATGGATCAGACCCAGTAAGCTTTAAGACAATCTGGTCTAGGATTTCAAGAGATTTAACAGCTTAAGCCTCACTCACAGTTTTATATTCTAGTGTGGAATTCCCTATCAAAACAGGTCCATATTAGAGAAAGAATTTATTTAGTGTATGTGGATTACGCCCTTTGAAAAGCAGTATTTCAGAGCTGGGACACTGTTAACTTTGTTCTTCCTGACAATTTTCATATTCAGAAAATATCAGAACATATTCAGAAAATATCAGGAACGTTTTTTAACAATAAAATGGATTTCAAACAATAGCCATACTGTATAACCAAAGAAGTGTTGCCATTTCAGATTTTAAGTGGGATACTAAACATTTTAAACATTTTAAATCAGTTTTTAAGCAGCTAACAAAAAGTTATTATAGTGATCTGCACTATACTGCAGTAAACAGCATAGATCAGTTATATCTACAGCCAAACTTCCTACTCCTTTTAAATGTAGTACCTGTATGCATTCAGACAAGAGAATTACCATATTTCATACACAGACCACCAAAGGTACCATAAGTTACAGTATGTGTAATCTTGATCCATTTCACACAAGCATCTTATCTTAATCTTTTATAGATGACAACAACTATTGGGGCCCACTAAGGCCACTAGGCAACGACAAGGGGTCCCCCTTAATGTGCAACACATCAGTTTTTTAATTGGCATGTTCACAACTGTGAAACCAGAATTCCCTTCAGTGGCTCTTTTTGTTGCTGTTGTTATAAGTTGTAGTTCAAGTTGATTAGTTACAATTGTTTTGCAGTAAATGTGTCAATCGTTGTCTGAAGGTATTTAGACTAAACCCTATGCGTAGCCGGAGAGATGAATAGTACAGTCTAGAAAAATAGGGTATCCAAATTGCTGGGCGAAGAGAAGTCTGGGGGCCGTAAGCAATGAGTTTGTACGTACTATTTATGAGTAATATATGTACTACAGTACTCACGTACTATGTGTGAGCTGAAATCCCTCACACCTGAAGAAGGCTTCACAGCCGAAACGTTGTGTTTTCTTTCTTCTCTTTTCAGCATGTAAAAAACCTATTGTTCCTTTGCAGACTACGCATGCTGACACAGCTACCCACCTGACGTAGTTACAGTATATGTGTTGGAAGGCGCTCTGTTTTATTAACAGACATTTCGACCCAAAGAAGTGTAGTATAGTGATATAAATGTGGGTCATGTCATCCCCATTATACAATGTGCTTATCGCAGAAATCGTACTAAACTAAAAATAAGACACAAGAAGAGCATTATTGGACAATGTTGTAAGGCTCTGGTGGAATTTCTCTGTAAACTGAAGACTTATAGAGGAGACATGTTGTATATCGCCTCTTTTTACACTTGTAAGAATATTCCAATGTTAATGGGACACGGAAGATATTATTAATAACTTTTTAAATCTGAAGCTGTTAACTCTACTTCACACCTGCATGTCAAGATCACGGTTTCAAAATAAAAAAACATCAAACCTTTGATTGGATGAGAACGCCATGATTGTTTCGCAAGTATGTGAAACATGACAATTTGTTACAGTTACCATCAGGAGAAAAAAAAGTTAATTTTTTAATTTATTTGTGGCTGCTGCAGTGGCTTGCAATGGCTGGATAGTTAACACTTCCCAAATGCTTTGTTAAGTCTGTCCGTGGGGGGAAGGGGGGACTCCAAGGTACGCTGGGCAAATGTTCAAAGTCAAATTCTTCCACGAGGGGGGTACCTTTAAAGTGGAGACGACGGCACTGAATGTTTTTGGCATGCCCTAATTTTAAAGCCCTGGCCAAATATGAAAACAGTATGTACAGTAATAATTCAAACTGAATTAAAAACTGAATTGAACAGGATGAATTGAACTGAATTGAACAGGATGTGCATTTATTAATTATAGAAAAAAAAGCCTTTCTTGATTTCTCTAGTTCTTAGTTTCTCTATTTCCCTTTAAAAGAGACTATTATTTTAAAATGCAGAGTACTACATGGCCAGTATTTACATATGATATTTTGTGATTTAAACAAATTAACACAAGCAGTTTTCGAGGATTTAAGTGTTGGCTGAGTTATTACAGGATGTAAGACTAGAGATGTACTGTAGATAGGAAAAAGATAATTTGGGGAAAGCTGTGGAATACACTGATAACAACATCACTTACTAATAGGGTTAGGCATACTTTTTACAAAATGACAGTAGATGTTATAGACTGCGGTGGAAGATGATGAAGATAACAGATTGTATGTTTACATAGATACTGAAATGAGGATTGCATTTTAGATTTTGTGTAGTTGCTAGCATTGAACTGTGTGTTGGATGCACATGAAATGAAGGAATGGGCAAACATAGCTGATGCTGATCCACAGCGCCAGCATCTTAAGATGTTTATATTTAGAGGCAATTTGTTTAAATAACTAACTAGGTATGGATACTGATGTGCAAGAGAGGTGGAAAGGCTGTTTCCTTAAGCCAGCACTATAAAATAATTTATCCTCAGTGAGATGCTGCCATTCATAGTGGGTTTCTAACACTGTGTTCCATCCACACAGTGCCTTTACTTCCATCCATTTTCTAATCTCTTTATCCAATACAGAGGTTTCGGATCCTATCCCAGCAAGCAACAGACGCAAGGCAGAATACACCCTGGACATAGCGCCAGTCCATCACAGGACAGACAAACAGACACAAACACACACATCCACCAGGGCCAGTTTTCCCGTAAGCCAATTAACCTACCAGTATGTTTTGAACTGCGAGGGGAAATCATTTCATAAATATGGAGAAAACTTATGGAACTCAGAGAGAACATGCAAACTCCACACACACAGGATGGCAGGAATTGAACCTAGGGCCCCAGTGCTGCAAGACAGCAATGCTAACCACTTTGCCACCATTAGAAATAGATGGATAGCTTAGTTATCTTTCTACTTCACAGGCTTGCACGCATGATTTAATGTTGAAAGGCGCTGAGACATCTGGTACTATCGTCTTATTTATGAAAAAAAACATAAAAAAGCATTCTAACAACTGTGCCATCCTATTCCTCAGTAAATACATTTTATTTTTATAGACCGTTAACATTGTTAGCAAAATATTTTGAATTATATTTTACCCTATTTTTTCTTTAATTTTGTATTTTACTTATTTTCTGATAGTCAGATTTAATGTATATTTGAACAATGAAAATATATTTTTACAAGATGCGGGGAAAAGTACAACAATTTATTACAGTGCTAAATTTAATATTTTTGATTACTAATAGTAAAAAACTTACAGCGTACACAACGATTCTAAGCTGATCATGAAGAAAAAAAATTACCTGTTTTTCACACATAAAAAGTGGTTATTAACTATTTAAACCTGTTTTTATAGCTTTTAAAGTCATGCAATGTCTTAGTTAAGCAGAAACACATCATTGTATCTTATTTTTTATATATTTTTTTAAAATTAAAAAAATCATTTGCCCAGCCTAAGGGTGGTGGGGTGCTTTCATTGACAGATGACACTCCTCCATATGCTTAAGTGAAAAATTAATAAAAACGCCAATGTAAACATCATATTTACAATTTGTTGAAAATAAAAAAATAAAGTTCTCTAAAGCTTTCTCAGTCAAGAATGAGAATTCAGGTAGGGAGCTATGTAAGCATGTGTAGGTAGCAAAAGATCAGATAAACAGGGAAGAAAACGCTTTCAGAGAAAACAATGTTTCAGGTGTGAACAATACAGATACCCAATTCAATTCAGCATAAACCACACCCTGCCCCCACTGTGATTAGAATATACACAAATAAAGCACTGAAAGCTTTACAGTAGATGATCAGGTGTTTCGCAGATGTAAGGATAGTTCTGTACGTAAATCTGGCTTTATGAACTCACACCTGGGATTCGATTAATTCAAAATAATGTTTTAAAAAAAAACTGCACCATGTACTAGATCTTGTTTATATTAAAGTTATATCACTGGGCAGTGGTGGACAGTGTACTATTTTGTCAGCAACCTGCTAATCTGCTTAACACCTGTAGAAAACTTCTATCTGTACGGAATGCGTGTTGCGTTTACAAAATTAAAGTGTTCCAAATGTTTAATTAAGAATTAAAAAGAACTTACAGCTTACACAAAGGCTCAAACTACAGTATGGAAAAATGAGTGTTATGAAAAAACGGAACATTTGATTGCTGGTTGCCTTATATTAATTTTTAAAAATGAAATAAAAAATTAGATACAATGACATGTTCCTGCCTGACTCAAACATTGCGTGACTTTAAAAGCTGTAAACAATGGTTTAGATAGCAGAAAGTCACCTTGCTCTTACAAGCGGCTCTGTTTTTGATAACACAACACCACTTTGTCTGTCCAC